CTCAGAGGTAGGATAGATATGTATAAGGTCCTGGATTTGATCCCCAGCACCACACTTCCACTACATCTTCCAAATCATTAGCTATTTTAAAATATAAAAACTATGGAAATTTGAATATAAACTATATAATATCCAACAACTGAAATGTCTACAATCAAATGATGCCAAGAGAAAAAAGACTGCAACCATATCAATAGAGACAGCTATTTCTGTACACTGGTCACTGCAGTCAGATGACTCACCCACATGCACTAGAAAAATGACACACATAAATGGAGAGTAGCAATAATGTAAGTGAAGAGTACACAAATGAATTTGTTTGATCTTGAAAGGTTTAAAATTTTTTTAAATAAAAGTTTTGTGAAAAGTACATAAGTACATTTAAATCCCATCCCATCTCCTGCGACAATGTTCATTTCATGCCTTTTGCTCTTTTTTCCTTGTGAATTTTGTTTTTTACTGGGTGTGTTAAGAAGGGTCACTATAAAATCATTTAGATTTGCAAACAACAGAGCTTTGAGATACATCTGATATTGACAATGTAATGCTACAGAAGTTTCATGATTATCACCAAGCTGTTGGTTCACCCATGTACTTTTCTTTTCTACATAAAACACAAAAATTTGGCAGAAAATAAAATCTTCAATTATGGCTTTAAAAAAGAATGAAGCTTGAGGGGTCAGGAGCTAGTTCAAAGTGCCATAGTTTAGGCATGGAATGCAAGAGTCCCCAAGTTCGATTCCCAGCACTCATGCACTCCCCTTAGTCCTAACACATGTGGCTTCACTGGTTGGCCTGAGCACCACATGACTATGATGAAGCCCAGCACCTTATTGTGGTCCAAATACTGACCTACATAGTGGGTCTCTGCCTACACAGTGGGGCTGAGTATCTCCAGAAGTAGCCACTGTGCCCCTTGAGAGTCATTTGGGACCCACCCCCAAAAAACTGTTTTGAATAAAAAGTTATAAAATTCAAATTTCTAAATATTAAACTCAAATATCTAAATGACCGAGATAATTTTCCACAGATTACAGGAGAGTTTTATGCATATGAAATAGGAAGCAGACCCTCATAGATTTAGTACCATAATCATCAGTATGACTGTGATCATCAATTTTATTTCCTGACTGAGAATCATAGGTAATAGAAAATCTCTGTACATGGCTTAGGATGGAATGAATTTTCTGGCGAGGTTAATTCTCCCCATCCATGCACAGGGACTTTCTTAATGTCTCATTCTACTTGTTTTACAAATCTTTCACTTCCTTTGATAAATGTATTCCAGGTATTTGATTCTTTTGGGTGCAAATATAAATGGAATTCTTAATTTCTTCTTCTCATTTGTTTTTTGCATACAGGAATACAGCAGGTTATTTTATATTGATTTTCTAACTTCTTCTTTGTTGTACTCATTAATTGTTTCTAATAGCTTTTTAATGGCGTCTTTAGGGTTTTCAAAATATGTTGTTCTATCATCTGCAAATAATGATAGTTCATTTCTATTCTGAGTCCTTCTATTTCTTGTTGTATAATTGCTCTGGTGAAGACCTCTACTAGAAACTTAAATAATGGTGACAGTGGACAGCCTTGTACTGCTCCTAATTTTATCTTATTTTATTTTTCTGTTAAAGTTTTTTTTTTATTAGTGAGACATATGAGGTACAGTTGTAGACTTCCAAATTTTTGTGCTTGGGTTTCAATTATACAATGATCAAATGCCCATCCCTCCACCAGTGCCCATTTCTCACCACCACAGATCCCAGTATCCCTCCCACCCCCCATTCCCCCCATCCCACCCTGCCTCTTTGGCAGGGCATTCCCTTTTGTTCTCTCTTATTGGGTGTTGTGGTTTGCAAAAGAGGCAATGGGTGACAATCATGTTTGGTCTATAGTCTACTTTCAGCATGCTTCTCCCATCCTGGGAGGATCCTCCCAACACCTTTATTTGGTGTTCCCTTCTCTTTCTGAGCTCCCTTTTCTCCTAACATGTGTGGTTGGCCTCCAAGCCATGGAGTAAAATTCCTGGTACAAATCTCGGCCATTCTTGGGTGTTAGTCTCCTATTTTGTTACTTTATGTTCCCCGGATGAATTCTGCTCCTAATTTTAAAGAAAAAAAATTAAGGTTTTCACTCTTGGGCATCATAAAAGCTGTGCATGTGCATATGTGGCATTTATTAAATGCTAACATATGTTATTCTATCCCAGCTTTCATTCTTTGAGGATAGCAATTCTATCTGAACACTTTAGATATATGAAGATATATTTACATAGAAAAATGCAAAGGCAGGCAAAATGAGATCTTTAAGTTTTATGGGATAAAGTAAAGCTGGGATTATATATTATTTGCAGAGATGCATAATTCTAGAAAAGCGGAACTAAATAGAAAAAAGTAATCAAGGAAAAAATTAAAGCAAAAATAATTAAAACTCTGCCCCAAAAAGACATCTCAAGAAAGGTGTATTATTACTTAGGTAATGTGGGGGGAGTTATAATATTTAAAGGAAAGGAAGGAAAGGCCCTCCCGTTGATCGTCGATTTGCTCGAGCGGGCCCAGTAACGTCTCCATTGGAGACTTTGTTGTTACTGTGTTTGGCATATCGAATACTATCGGTAGCTTGCCGGGCTCTCCGAGAGGGGCGGAGGAATCGAACTCGGGTCGGCCATGTTGGCCGCTTGTAAGGCAAATGCCCTACCGCTGTGCTATCGCTCCAGCCCATAATATTTAAAACAAACAAAAAAAAACAGGAATGAGCATATGAAAAACGCACTTTCAGGTTACAGATTTGGGATAGAGAAGAGATCATTGACAATGATGGTTGGAAGGGATTGCTCTGAACGGGAGATGTGTGTTGAAAGTGGGTGAAGAACCAAATATGATGGCCTCTCAGTATCTTTATTACAAACCATAATGCCCAAAAAGGGGAGGGGAGAGACAGAGAGATAGAGAGAGACAGAGAGATAGAGAGAAAAAGAGAAAGAGAGAGAGAGAGAGAGAGAGAGAGAGAGAGAGAGAGAGAGAAGGAAAGTGCTTGCAATAGAGGCATTCTGGGTGGAATGGAGACAAGAGGGATATGGGTGATATTGGTGGTGGGAAATGTACACTGGTGGAGGAAGGGATGGGTTGAAACACTGTATGACTGAAACCCGAATATGAAAGCTTTGCACCTGTATCTCATGTTGATTCAATTAAAAAATAAAATTTTTAAAAAGAATCAAAATTCATCTCTGCAAGCAATCTCTTCTAATTCCTCTATCTCCCAGAACTTTTTAAAGATAGAATGCCCAAAGGCAGTTTTTGAACTTATTCTCTTACCACAGGCTCACTCCTTTAACAAACCCATTCAACCCATTGTTTTATATGCCATTTATAAACCAGTAGCTATCAAATTAAAACATCTCAGCCCAAACATTTGCTCTGACCTCAAGGCTCACATACACAGCAGCCTACTCAACATATTCATTTAGATATAAATTTAAAATACCCTGAAGTAAATTTTTGATCATTCCTCGGAGAATTGTTTAATTTTTTCTTGGTCATTATAAATGAGATCTTTCTACTTTCTCTGGGTTCCTTCTGAGCTGGAGGGATAGTACAGCAGATAGTACAGCATTTGTCTTGCACACTGCCCACCCAGGTTTGATTCCTGGCATCCCATATGGTTCCCTGAGCATCACCAAAAGTAATTCCTGAGTGCAAAGCCAGGGTGTGGCCCTAAAAACAAAAACAAAACAAGCCCCACCAGGAGCAGTTCCTGAATACAGAGCCAGAATGCACCCATGAGCATCACCAGATGTGACTCTCCAAAAAAAAAAAAAAAAGGAGAATCTTGATTCATTTTTCCAATTAACCTAGTTAATCTCCCAGACATGATCTCTAGAGAGTCAGGAGACCCTAATTTCCAATTCTATCTCTTCCACTTACATTCTAGATGACCTAGCTTGAGATTTCCAACCTCTGATGCACCTAGAAAAATGCCTAACATAGAGAAAGTGATGAATAAAATGGAAATATCCACATGGAAGAATGGTAACATTCCAATACTCATTCTTTTCCCTTTAACAATATAGCTACTACACTTCCTGGTCTCATTTGCAGAGATGTGTCCACATGACTAAGTTCTGGCCAATCGCATGTGAGCATCAAGTTTTGGGTATTCTGAAAAGCTTGTTTTCTCCCTTCTACAGACTAGAATGTGGATCTGATGTTGGCGATTGGGATTAATAATAATTGCAAACAAAAGCAAGGGGTGGGGAACTGAAATAAAAAGATCAGAAGTCTCTGGGAATGTAGACCAGAGATGTCCAACTCTCAAATCTGTCAACTTGATGCCATCCAACTAAGACTCAAGCACACAAGAAAACCTGCTTTCTGAATACAAAATGATAATACCTACAAGTAAATTCATTTTGCTACTAACAATCCATCTGCATCTTTTGACAGCATATTTTTGAGCTAAATTTCCAGATTATCCTTACAAATGTACGAATTCTCCAAAGATATGTCACTACTGAAAAGATTCATGTGAACAGGGGGAAAAGAAAAACCCAAACATCAGCATATATGGGAATTTGTGACAGCACATTAAAAATGAAAAAAGAATGTACCTTTTCCTTGAACATTATACCCTACTGCTTCATGACTATTCATTTGATAACATTTATTCAGAATAGCATACTATATTTCCCATTAGATAGGAAATAAAACTTTCAGTGGGAAATGCTAATATAAAGCTGAGGGAAAATAAACACACTCATGCCTTTTTTGCTTCCCACCAGAAGTACGGTAGCATTAAGTGGAAATTTACCCACCAAAGCCGTGAACTGTGCTGACAGCAATTACATACCTATCGACACCTAATTTATCCTAAATAACAATTTTAAATTCAGTATTTAGATCAAAGTAGCCACATTTTAGCTACTTTTCTGGACACTGCAAGTCTAGATAAAAGACAAATGCACTACAATTACATTTAGATCATTTTTCCCCCTTCTTTCGCATCAGATAGGTAATATGCCAGATACATAAGAAGATTTAAGGGAGGCACATGTCACACAAGCATGTGACCATTAAATCATCATGCTTATGAACAAGAAAAGGTCTTTTTTAGATTATGACTAAGTTCTGGCCAATGGCATGTGAGCACCAAGTTTTGGGTATTCTGAAAAGCTTGTTTTCTCCCTTCTATAGAAACATCTGCAAGGTACAGCAGGATCACAGAAGATACAGCACCGAAAGGTGCCCATGAGAAACACATTAGGTAGTGCTCTGTCAGAAAAAAAATTGAAAGGGTGGAAATTTCTGTGACTGGCAAGTTAGGTGACTGTATGTATTACTGGTAAAAAAAAAAAAACTGAAATAAAGGCCCAGAGGCTTAACAGGATTTATTAACAAACAGCTCAATATAACTAAAGATATGAAAGTGATCTTGACCAATGACCAAACCATAAAGTGTTCCATAGCCTCCGTGATATAACATTATAGATCCCATGAGATTTACTGGGAGAAGTCTTTTATCCCTAAACTTGTAGAAAATTTAAGAAGAAAGGGAGAGATCATTTAAAAGTCTGAGAGCATGCCTTGCACGTGGGAGACCAGGTCTACCCCCTCCCCCCATACACAGCCCCAGATGTACTGCCAGGAGTAATCCCCAACTATAGAGCTGGAGGTAATACCCGAGCTCCATGAAATATGGCTCAAAACCAAACAAACAAAAATCTTCTTTATTAGGAACACATCAATGTTGAAATGAAAGAAGGGGGAGGACGGAGGATGAATTAAAAAAAACACTATCTTCAGCTCAAGAGGTTAAATACATGCTCCATTACAAAATTTATGAGTGGAAACATGTAAATTAGTAGTTTAGCAAATATTACCCCAAACACATTCAACTGACCACATTAGTTTTTTTCCAAACCAAAGAACTTTAGATAATTAACTTTTAGAAATTTTGGGATCTTGCTTCTGTGAAGAGTTTTATATATTATGTTTGAGAATTAGTCAGAAGGGACTTTTGACAATGATACTAAATTTCTACATCCAACAATCCTATTTAGTGGAGGCCAACCATGAAAATTTCAAAAGCCAAAAAGACATCTGCATTGTTTAACTGCCATTGGGTTCCTGGAACCTGACTTAGAATCATTCCAGAAAGTCTTACTATCTAATCAAGCTTATAATATTGAGCTATCAAATAACAGAGCGAATAAAAATGTTAATACAAAATAAGTAAAATAAAAGAATGAAAGTGGTAAAGAAGATGGTTTGATACTGTTAAATCATAGGATAATAAAAGTGGCATTATTGTAGAGAGTATAGTTTTCAGGACATATTTAATACTTTATATGCAACCATTACATACAAAAATTAACCCAAATTAATTAGGGAGGGCCTATAAACCTAGCAGTTCTTAGAGGCTGCATCTGGTTCTGAGCCCAGGGACCACTCCTGAAGGGGCTCAGGGGACCATATGTGGTGCCGGGGATGGAACCACAAATTTTGTAACAAGAGCCCTACCTACATAAGGGCTCCCAATTGTATACCTCTTATATCAAACTTCATATCTAAAGTGGATAAACAATATTTCTCAAGTGATCACTATCACTGTATCATTGTATCACTGCCATCCTGTTGTTCATCGATTTCCTCGAGCAAGCACCAGTAACATCTCCTTTGTCCTAGCCCTCAGATTTTAGAAAGTGCCACATTAGAGGTTCTTTCAGGGTCAGGGGAATGAGACCCATCACTGTTACTGGGTTTGGGCATATCGAATACGCCACGGGGAGTTTGCCAGACTCTGCCGTGCGGGCAGGATACTCTTGATATCCTGCCGGGTTCTCTAAGAGTATAAACTAGATAATAAGAGGTCACACAGCGCCAGGGGCAGTTGGTGGGTGTAACGCCTACATACTGGAAGATGGGGGATCTGGGTCGAAGAGGCCCAGTCCCTATCCGAGTAGGCTTGGAGATCTCAGCCTTGGGTCCCGCATGCTTGGGTTCCTCTGCCGGATCCTTCATGCGTGAGGCTCATTGAACGTGTGGAGAGTGGTCTTAAGCATGGCTGTGGCTAGTTCCAGAGGTCTTCGGCTGCCGGGGCTCTGCTCAGGGCGGGGAGGGAAACTCAACCCGCCCCCCTTCAAGGGGCCCTGGTCAGGACAGCCAGGCGCGGGGGCAGGAGTCTCTGCGCTGCTCTCTTCCGGGAGATGGGTTTTATAGTCTCTGGGTCTTGGCAGTTGATGGGATAACACGGAACCAGGGGCAGTTGGTGGGTGTAACATCTACCTACTGGAAGATGGAGAATCTGGGTGGAGGAGGCCCAGTTCCAAGTGATCACAGTCAACTTTATTGGATATAATCTTTTTTTAACTATCTCAAGAAACAACTTTTAGTAAACAGTACATAAAATGGTGCAAGTTCTCACTGCTCAATATTTAGTATTTAGCAAATCAGTAAATCCTTTTCTATAGTATTTTTAAGACTTTTCCATTTCAATTATGCATAACTCAAAAAAACAGATAATTTTCAAAACCTTTGCTCTTTATAATCCTAAACAGCATTCCCAAAACTTGCTACGTTCAAGATTACTCTAAATTAAATGTTATTTAATAATCATTTAGACAGTAATTATTAAAGTTCCAAATATTACAATATTCATAAAGTTACCAAAGGCAAGAAAATCTAGCTAATATTACCTAAAAAATATTAAGTACATCCTGAAAACTAGACTCAATATAACAAAGATATTTTATTTTCCTATTGATTTACACCAAAAGTCAGGCAGGCAGGATAGGTCAGTAGTTTTACCTCTAATTGGAAAAAGGCAAGAAACAATCCCAGAAGTTGTATTTATTTTTAATTTTAAAAAGTTTCTATTGACTGAGGTTCTCGATTGACAATACTGTTAATGATAGTTTCTCATGCATATAATTCCAACACCACACCCATCATCAGCTTTAATTTTCAATGTCAAGAAAGTTAGGAGGGAGAAATTTGAGAATGGACAGCCATGCTCCTTTCTGGAGAGTATCCATGTAGAACAAGAACTCGAAGCTCTAGTGTACTAATTTAAGGTGTCAGTATCTCTCTAGTTCAAAGTTCTACCTCTGTATTCTACCAATTCAAAGTTCAAAGTCCAACCTCCCAGTATTCTACCAATTCTGTTCAATCTTTAAAATGGATTTAAAATAAAATTAAAGAAAAAACAAAAAACAAAAAAAACTCAGGCTGAGCTGGAGCAATAGTACAGCAGATAAGGTACATACTGCTAACCCGAGTTCAATCCTGGGCACCAAATATGTTTCCCAAACCCCTCCAGGATTGCTCTCTGAGTACAGCTGAGTATGGAGAGAGAGAGAGAGAGAGAGAGAGAGAGAGAGAGAGAGAGAGAGAGAGAGAGAGAGAGAGAGAGAGAGAGAGAGAGAGAGAGAGAAATATCAGGCAACTACCATTTGTTACTTCTTCACAACAAAATCACCAACATCCCCCCTCCCCCACACACACACACACCTCTGTCTGATTGGTTGGTTTTGGGCCATACCCGGCAGTACCCAGGGCTGATGCTCGGCTCAGAATCTCAGGGATCATTCCTGGAGGCGTTTGGGGGACGATGTGGGACATCAGGGTTTGAACTTAAGTCAGACCTCTGCAAAGCAAGTACCCCACCTGGTCTGGCTCCACACCTTTTTAAAGCCAATGGTCAAACTTCTCTGACCACACTCCAAAGGGGGTAAAAAATACCTCTACTCAGCACTTTTTTTTAATGAATCACTGTGGGGGACAGCTACAGACTTACAAACTTTTGGGGTTACGTTTCATACAATGATCGAGTACCCATCCCTTCACCAGTGCCCATTCTCCACCACCATCCTGGTATCCCTCCCACCACCCCCACCCTGCCTCTGTGGCAGGGTATTCCCTTTTGCTCTCTCTCTCCTTATGGGTGTTGTGCTTTGCAATACAGATATTGAATGGCCATCATTTGGTCTGTAGTCTACTTTCAGGATGCATCTCCCATCCTGAGCGGGCCCTCCAAGCACTCCATACTTGGTGGTCCCTTCTCTAACTGAGCTGCCTTTTCCCCCAGCATGTGAGGCTGCCTTTCCAAGCCATGGAACAATCCTCCTGGTATTTATCTCTACTATTCTTGGGTGTATGTCTCCCATTCTGTTTCTTTATATTCCCAAAATGAGTGCCATCTTTCTATGTCTCTCCATCTTTTTCTTACTCATTTCATTTAACACGATACTCTCCATGTTGATCCACTTACATGCAAATTTCATGACTCATCCTTTCTAAGAGCTGCATAGTATTCCATTGTGTAGATGTACCAAAGTTTCTTTAGCTAGTCATCTGTTCTCGGGCACTGTTTTTTTCCAGATTCTGGCTATTTTAGACAGTGCTGCAATGAATAAACAAATGCAGATGTCATTTCTACTATACTTTTTTGTATCTCCGGGATATATTCCCAGAAGTGGTATTGCTGGGTCAAATGGGAGCTCAATTTCTAATTTTTTTAGAAACGGCCATACTGTTTTCCAAAAGGGTTGTACCAGTCGGCATTCCCACCAGCAGTGAAGGAGAGTCCCTTTCTCCCAACATCCGTGCCAATACTGGTTGCTTTTGTTCTTTTGGATAGTCTCAGCACCTTTTGATCCAAATAGTTCCTTCCTTTATAAATCCCTTGTTTCAGCATGGTGGTATAGATTTCTTCCTTCAGGTTAGATGCTCACAGCAGCTTTATCCTTCTTCAGACTTCAGAAGAACACAGCAAGCTCAGGGCTCTATTCTTGACTATTCTCTTTTCAGTTTATACTCTCTTCCCGGGGTAATTCCTTCTAGATTAAAGACTTCAAAATACCACATGTATGTGGGTAACTCTCATGAGAAATCTCTAGCCAGGATCTCTGTCCTGAATCCCAGACCCATTAAGACACTAACTACTCTACATAAGCACTCAAAGATTTCAAACTCAGCCCCTGCTAATAAACCATCCATATGTACTTGATCCGAAGTTGTTTTCAAACTTTTTTTAGCAATTATATTTGGCATGGTTAGTGTTTCATGATTCTCTCAACCCACTTAGAGGTCTTCAAAAAATAAAAAG